TCTATATGGAGGGTGTGTGGGGGTTCGGGGAGATAAGTCCTAGATGTACAAATGAATAACAATGAGACACTGGTGCTAACATACCTACCATTCAAAATTTGGTGTGTATTAGCCCCTCTGTAAAGCAGTTTACATGAATCACTTGAGTTTTACCTTCAAGTATTGTGAGCATCCTTTGAAGGTGAAGAGATGGAAATTGGTCAGATGTGCAAATGTATAAATAGCTGTTCCAGCATTCTGCTAATATAAACCAAGAGCCTCATTTTAAGTAATGACAAGCCAAAAAGAAAGCAAATGTTGTTCAGTGCAAACTCCTTAATCACATTCTTTTCAAATTCTTTTCTTTTCTTTTTTTTTTTTTTTAACTTTTTTTTTTGGTTTTTTTGAGACAGGGTTGCCCTGTGTAGCATTGCTCCTTTCCTGGAACTCACTTTGGAGACCAGGCTGGCCTCGAACTCACAGAGATCCCCATGCCTCTGCCTCCCGAGTGCTGGGATTAAAGGCATGCGCCACCACCGCCCAGCTCAAATTATTTTCTTATTTAACATTTCATATTAACTTTGTTCTTTGAAATTTTGTACAAATGTACAGCACACTCTGTTTAATCTCATCTCCTCCCTTCCCATCTTCATCAAAGTCAATGTCTCAAAGGAATGTCTGCAGAACACCTAGAAGCTTACAATTTCTCTTCGTGATTCAAGGCTAGGTAAGGAAGTTTTTAAATCACATTTAGGTTAATATTAGAGACAGTTATAGGATGATAACAAGCCACACTATTCCTGAGTAGCTATGGAAACAAACCTTTGGTAATGAGGTTGTTAGGATGGAGGTAGTAGAATGCTGATTTACATTTGGAAACAACAATACGTATTTGAATTGCCCTGTAAGGTTAAATGAAAGAGTAAAAGTTGGACTACTTATTATTTAAAGGCATTATCATGTGTGGAGTTAAGTACTTAGATCTAAAGCTGGACTCAAGCATGTTATGTATTCTTCATGCTTGGAGATCCCTCTAGAAGTAGCATACGCCTCAGTGGAAAGGACATAAGTCTCTCTGCCTTTCAAGGTAAGTGTCTTTGAAGCAAGTGGTATACATCTAGCAGTTACCTGTAAGAAGACAATAAAAATTACTATCCTTTTAGTATGTCATGAACACAAATGGACGTCCTTGTTTCGAGAAAGGGCCATGTTATTAATTAATTAATAATCAACTAATTAATTAATTTTAGCCAATCAAATAGGTGGTGTCTTGTTTCAATTTGTATTCCCTTAATTATGGTAGTGGACATGGTTTCATGAGCTTACTACCAACAACAAGGTCAGAATATGTGTCTCCAAAACATGCCACCTTAGTAGTAATTTTTAGGTGTAGTCAGATCGGAACTAGAACATTCAGAAAGAACTCTGTGTTTTCCTCCCATTGCTGAGCAGCAGATCACACATTTTCCTTTATCAAAGTGACGTAAGTTTCCACTTGTAGACATGTCTCAGCTCAAGTACCAGGAAGAGGAGAATTTACCTAGGCTTCCTGTTGGCGTTATAATCTCGTCTTTAGTGAGGCAGCACATGAGCATATACTACTCATCCTCCCACAAGTCATCATCACTAGTAGAACAAGGGCTTGTAGCTGAGCTGGAAGCTCAAACATTTCTCATTACCATGCCATGGAGAAAATGGTGATGACAATGTTGGGAACACTGGTAAGGACCTAATTCTCAAATAATATATTGGTACTACTACAACCTCACTTCTCAAGATATTGCAAAAGAGGCACAGACAGTGTGGGTTTAAATGCTCTAGAGCCATCAAGGTGGTTGACTATATTAAGATACCAATAATTGTTTTGATGACCAGAGTGATATATTTATTAAAACTAATACCTTATTGTGATTTAGAAATGATCATACAAATATGCTATCTTACTGTCTTATCAGGTCATGTGTTCAATTTCAATTTTTACTTCTTTGCTGTTATTCTGAGATTTTTGAGAATCCCATAAGGATATAAAAGTAAGATTTCACATCAGTCTGTCTGCATCTGGAAATAATATCAGTTAGGGGGTTGGTCCTTTTGGGACGCACACTAATGTGTAAGGATAGAAGTCACTCCCCATGATCAGTTCTGAATCAGCAAGGTGAATTGGGGTTGGTTATGCCTTAAGCTAACAAGCTTAAATTTTGTTTTAAAATTAATCAGTGTATGACCAGAATTAAATGCCATATGACCACACTAGAACTGGTTAAACCAAGCAGGTCAAGCTACAGTGCCCAATACAGTCCACTGAAGTCAGGTCCGGGTAACCTTTCATTGCCTATGTGACTTCTGAAAAGTTATGGTGCCAGGATCCGGAACCAGAGGCCAGATGACATCATATCACTATGATGTCAGCAAAGGCTGCACTCCTGGAGAAGTCAGTCTATTTCTCCTGGTGACCTCAGAGCATCTATTTCCCAGCATAAAGCAACCTGCTGCTCTCTCCTATTGCCACCCATGTCCTTTGTTATTTGAATAAGAGGTTTAAAGGTGCAGCTTTTACCCATTCTCCATTTTATAGTCTTCTCCAGCCTCTCAGGATCCACAATACAGATCTGAGCTAAGGTGAGAACCTTACAATGGAGTTCAATTTCATCATTTTATATTCACTGGGACTAGGGCATTTAAATACTTTATACAACAACTTTATATTTATGCAACAACTGAATGATTATGAAGGCTTTGGATGCATATACTCTTACATTAATTTTATAACAATGCTAAATATATAATTAGTATTACCACCTTAATAATAAAGATACAGCACTAGCTCGAGGGAGCTGTACCATGGCAGTCAGCTGTCAGATGGGCCTGTCCATCTTCAACAGTGACCTGACCAGTTTGGGGTCTTTGTGCCTCTAAGTGGTAATGAGGATGATTACCTGAATTTGGATGCAATGGACAGGTATTTTGTCCGAGTACCCATGGTGGTGGCAAAACTCTGAAAACAGCCAAGTCAGGACACTTCTCTGATATCCAGGCCAGAATAGTGCATAAAGCCAATTGCTCTAACAGATGCTCATCAATATCCTTTCATTTGGAGGCTACTAAGTGTACAGGAGCCTTCATTAAAGACTTCCCTAAGGATGAAATGCTGACCTTGAGATCAAACCAGGAGCTGCAGTTAAGTGTTTGGTCCAAGGGACTAAGCCAGTAGATATAGCCTTGGTTATAACAGTAGAACCTGAGTCCTCGGGAGGGTAGAAACTCAACTGTAAATGATGCCACAAGTTCCCTGATTGAGGATACAGTTCCCAACTTTGGATATAGAAATCAATGGTGGTCTTCACACTGTCCCTAAGTAGATGAAGGAGGGACTCATATGATTGTGTCTGGCAGAGTCATTATGAGGAGACATGACCACAGAGCTCCGACCAATTTTCTAAGAAATGGTTAGCAGCTGCTCAGAATGTTCTCTTCTGGATGAAGCCACAGGATAGGGATCCCAGGACTCCTGCTCAGGAAGCCTTCCATTACCAGAAAGGGTGAAATTGACCCCCAAGTCATTTTGTGTTTGAGCCAATGCTGCTTTTCTGAGCAATTATTCATTCCAGTGCTGAAAATCCATTTTGAAAACTGTTTCAAGAGGTTTGTCATTGGTGTGTACAACTAAATCCTTAGTGATACCATTTAGAAATTAGTGTGATGACTGTGTTTTGGGAGAGAATTTTTGTAGAGTGACAACATGGCCATGTTAAGGTGGAAACCAAAATGTGTGTGTCCTAATGTCCAAGGAGGAAAATTAGTTATCACAAAAAGAAAGAAAGAAAGATGTATAGCAAGACTTTCTTTGGACCACCAGCTCCCGAATAATGACACTAAGACTTCTTAATAATTATGAAAGCTTGGATTTAGCTTAGGCTTGTTCCTAACTAGCCCTTAAAACTGAAATTAACCCGTTTATATTAATCTACATTCTGCCATGTGGCTCGTTACTTCTCCTCAGTACTGTACATCCAACTTCCTCCGTGTCTGGCTGGTGAATCTCTTGAGCCTCAGATTCTTTTCCAGAGTTCCTATCCTCCCCCTCCCCGCCCCTGAAGTCCCACCTATCCTGTCCTGCCTAGCTATTGGCCATTCAGCTCTTTATTAAACCAGTCAGAAGGTACCTTAGGCAGGTAAAGTAAAACAGAGACATATCCTCACAGATGTACAAAACATGTTTTTATGTATTTTAAAATGAATGTTCTGTTGTTTCCCAACTTGGTTCCTAGAGAAATGGCCTCTGTATTTTCATGTTTCATGCCATTTATGGTTCATTTATGTGTGTGTGTGCTATTATGAGTGGGATGGAACCAAGCTTGGATCAGGTGGTACACTATAGTCTTGCATATGCTGCATTTGTTTCTTACATTTTATATTACACTTGTTTATAAAATAAAACAATATATAAGCCAGGCGGTGGTGGTGCACGCCTTTAATCCCAGAACTTCGGAGGCAGAGGGAAGTGTATCTCTGAGTTTGAGGCCAGCCTGGTCTATGGAGTAAGTTCCAGGACACCCAGGGCTATACAGAGAAACCCTGTCTCCACAAACAAAAAACAAAACCAAAAAAAAAAAAAGGAAAGAAAAGAAAACATACAAAGCCAGCATTCCCAAGGGAAGCATGGCCTTTCCTGAGGTCCAGTGATTGTAAAAGCGGGCTACACAGTGATTCCTTCCTGCTTTTGGTTCTCACTTCATGTACTCCTGTCCCACGCATCTCCTAGTCCCCCTCCACCCTTCACCATAGCAGCACCCCCAACCATAAGAAAATTAAAATTTTAATTAAAAAAAAAAGCCAATTTGCTCCTCTGTCTTTTCCTCCTCTCCATCATCTCTTCATCTGTCTTAATGGCTTTGGGAGCTGTAGTGTATCATGCAGTATACCCCTTTGTCCAAACAGCTTTACTTGAAAATGTTCATTGTAATGAGTTGTTGGTCTGGTTCAAGGCTTCTGGATTCTGGAACACCATCAATACTGGACCCTCACCAAAACTCCTCTCAGAGATCCTGCTGTTACCCCTGAGTAATGGAGATCCTGTGGCTATGGTTTCACAGAACCAATCCCTTCATGTAATTCTGAGAGAGGCAATAGAAGCATAAGAGAGTCATTAGTTGAAGCTCAACCAGAATAGAGTAAGCCAAGAAGAGAAGCAATTCAAACCTAGGTCTCTGGTTCTTTTGTGACTATTCTCAGGTTCACCCAGAAACATCTGGGTAAGGTGAGATAAGACTTCCAAACCATCAGATCTTAAGGACTCACTTCTCTCCACCGCAAAGGCTTTGATCTTTGTTCTAAAGAATTAAAATTACGTTGGTCCAGAGAATTGAAAGAAAATGCAGCTAATATTTAACTGTACTCCCTCTGGCCACAATATAAGCTGGCTGACAGAGAAGTGTGAGCAAATGAGACGGTTTAAATTTAACACCACCCTACAGCTGGGCCTGTTTGGTAAAGATCAAGGGAAATGATCTAACTAATGTGCCTATGTTCAGGCCCTCAAGGCTCTTTGCCAGGATAGGGGGCCATGAAAGGAAAATAGGAAAGGAGAGAAGCCCTTCAGGCAGCAGAGGAAAGGTAATTATCATCCATCCACAACTCTGTCTACTGCACTCCCCTAAGGAAAGTCTGGACCCTCAGGAACGATCAGAATACATGTTTCTTTTTCAAGCATAGACTATCAACAATAAATGGAAAAGTGAGGAGGCTTCTCTGGGGACTCCTAAGCCATCACTGGGATATTAGTATACACTGACCACATCTAACTGTATCTTGATTCTCTCTTGGCTAGTGGAACTTTCTGAAAACATAAAATTCTCTATCTCATGTCTCTTACATTCTCTTGCCTTCCAGTTGCTTTCCCAGACAGAAAATTATTTTCATCATGCCAGATCTACTGCCCAGAGTCTACTCCTGAAACTTACTAACACACATAACTGTGTTAGACAAGCACTTTCCAGCATGCAGGAAGCTCAAGCCCCCTAGACCAGGTCAGGTTTTTATTTTAACCACCGAGTTAAAGGAAAATAATGAAGAAACCCAAGAATGAAGTCAGCTCACAACTATGACAGATTATCTGATTCTATCTAAATAAGCTTACATAAATAGAAATTATTCGTGTTCTAAAGTTTAGGTGGCTGTGATTCTCCTACCTGGCAAGTTAGTGGCCCATGCCTGAGATCTTATGGGAAGGCCTGTATAAAGCCAACATTAGTTTATCTCTCTTCTTTTAGAGAACCTTTTTTACTTTTTTTATATTATTACTAATAATTTTACTCTAGTTATACCTTCTTGCTATGGACTTAAGGGACCCCCTTGGTTTCATCAGTCTTCCTTGACCATTTGTCCCAACTGATGGGTTATGTCAAGGTCTTGATGACTGGATGACTTTGGAAGCATTGGGGACATTGTCTTCTGCACTGACACTCCTCTTTTCAGGATGCACACTGCTTAGAGTTAAGTCTCTGAGGTCTCTAACATCTCTCTTCAAGAGAACAGGAATCTCCCCAGGACAGTAGCACTTTGGGGGATATTCCATCATCCCCTGTGACTGAGCTAACTTGGAGGCAGGCAACTGACTTTCCTTTAATCCCTGCATCTTCATTGGCTCTGTTCTCCCAGCTCATGGTTTAGAACACCCAGAAGTCCATCCCACCAGTACTAAACTACAAAGTCATGCTTTAAAATTTAAGTATTGTAAAACATTGAGATAAAGCTTGACAGAGATACGTTTTTAAATAAACCTTGAATTTCTTAAGATTTGGGATTGTTTTAGTTAGAAGCCATAAGCAATTATATAAACAATCCAACAAATCACACTTCTAAGAGAAAAATGACATCAAGATTAAAATTTAAAGGAAAGTCAGTTGGCAAAGAAAGTATGGTTAAGTCTGGAAGCTCTTCCCTTTCTGGGCTTCATGTACCAAACAAAGCACACACACACACACACACACACACACACACACACACACACACACACACACACA